TGTGATTTTGTAAAATATTGCTTAGTCGGTGGACTTCTAAGCGTAAATCCCGGTTTTCCGCTTCAAGCTTGGTGATATGTTCGATAGCTTTTCGTAAGGTCGCAGATTTACTAAGCTGGAAAGATCATAATTAAATGAAAAGTTGACATCGTCTGTGATATAAGGAAAAGCGTCAGTCATACTTTTGCATCGTCACCAGCCAGAATAGTCTTCAAATGTTGTATACGGTCATTTATCGAACATCGGTACTTCTTTTCGATCAAATTGTGAGCGGTGCGTCTCTCAGTTTTGGGTCCTAAAAATGTTAGGAATCCATGGCAAAACTGTCAACCTGCTATAAAACAAGAATGCTAGAAAAAATCTGAACGCTGATTTTAGCAACTATTATTGAAATTTATATCGCGAAAAAAATGAGTTGAACTTTTACTATAAGAAAACAAATAAGAATAATCTACCTTTTCTCCTTGGCTCTTCCGCTCCAAAATCATCCTCATCATCCGAATCCTCATCCTGAGGCCAAGAGTTATCTCTTGTGACTCGTGCCGCTACTCCAGCTGGACGCGAACGGCCGTTTGCGCCTCCCCGACCAGCCTTCAGACGTTCCACTTGGCCAGGCGACATATTCACCTTCAAAAGCATGAGTTGGACGAAACTGCTAAAGAATAGAATAGTAGGATAATGTAATCACTGACTAGTAATCTTAGCAACTCCTCTTTCGTTGAGGCGCCACTAGTTCCACTTTGGCCTCGTTGCATTTCTGTTATACTTCCATCAGAAGGTGATCGCGTCATCTGAATCGAAACTGGCGATTCAACCTTTACCGTAGCCGTTGCTGTAGCCGGGACACAAGACGTATAACTTGCACCAGGTGAAACCATGTAAGTATGCTGCAAAAGGGTGAGCGTTCAATTTCAAACCGCCTTTTAAAAGATGTGATTAGCCTAACCTCGGATGGAGGTGTTTGTATGAACTGCGGTGGTTTCGTATCGATGTACATAGCTGGAGGAGATAGCACTTGGGGCAGTACTTGCATCGGTGGAGCAGCCAGCTGTTGTGTCTGAAAATAATGATGAATTCTGGTACAACTTGGGTAGAATTGACACAATCGAGAAATATTTAAGATCGTGCAAAATACGTTTTTTCAGCTAATGCGCAGCGATTTCCAACTACACTACATTGCTCGAATCTATAATATTTAGTATATAGTATATATTATATTTTCATTAACTATTTAATTTCTGAGCTTAGAAATCCCTTCAAGACATTTCAAAATTAACACAATTTGTGAATTTCTAAGTGCATAGTCTCAAATTGGTCTTGCCGGTCACACTCCTTTTTGGTCAACTTCCTCTGCACTCCTCCTCCCTCTTTCCCGTTTAAGGTGGTGACTATTAGAGTAAGATTGGTCAATGATCGGGCAAAGATTGCTTAATTTCCCAAATAGCAGCGATGGCTTCTTCTTCCACGAGATTATCTATGATAAGCAGTTCAACGAAATCCTTAGTTTCTTTATAACCTTCGACATCAATTCAATTTCCTTCAGAACGCTTGACTAATCCCTATCTTATCATCGCAGCTTAGTGTTGTAACAATGCAGTGACCCCCACGTATCAATTTTCAACTTTTTGAACTTTTCGAAACAGCATTGAACAGTCGAAAGCTTGGGAATACTACTAGTTTCACAACTACTTCTCTTACAAACTTATGTTCAATGCTCTAGACGTCCTAAAATCTTATCAGTAGAACTCTTTCACTGGCACTCTGTGCTGTTATTTAAAAAGCTGAGTCTCTTCTAGACGATAACGAGTAATAACATCTTCGTTATCTATTTTGTTTAATACTTTGTCAAATTATGCAACCTCTGACAACTGCCTCGTG